GGGGGCGGCTAAAGCAAGCTTCCTCGCTCCAGAACAGGCATGATGCCTGAAGCCAGGCACGAGGCAGCTGCCCTGGTGCAGGAACTGGCCCCAGTGGGGCATGCCCCCTTGGGTACCCCCAGATGTGGGAGAACTTGGCCCCCCAGGCCTGACTTGGCACAGCTTGGGAACCCCTGGGTGCCAGGCACAACTCCGGCTTTCACTCCCAGCCTAAACTGCTAGCTTAGAAAATGGAAGGAGCATCTGTGGGAGAAGCAGCAAAATGGAGGCTGGGCCGGCAGAGACAGGTCCCTGGTACACATGGCGGAGGGCCTGTCTGGTTATTCGGGTCTGCAGCCCCCAGGGTAGGGAGAGAGGAGGAGGTTTTGCTGTTGAGAGCAGGTGCTGACTGCCCCAAGCTAGTGACCATTCTGGCCACCTCTGGGGATAGGATGAGCTCTCATTCAGAAGCAAAGGTGGGGACTTCCTCGGGAGAGGAGTCCTCGGTTCTGGCCTTTTGCCTGTTCACACTTACTGTTTCCTGTGTCTCTTGCCTTCACCCCTTGCCTTCTCCAGCGAGTCCACTTCTCTCCTTTTCCTCTCTATCCAGGGGCCCTCCCCTTGCAAACATTCTCTTATGTACGTCCTGCTCAACTGGGAGATGGGTGACAGTTCCAAGGCTGGGACAGTTGGCCAAGATTTCTTTGCCGGGACTGATCCCTGGGTGGCTTCTGGCTTTGGGAACAGGGTCCTTGAAGGGGGCAGTGGGAGGGTGGAAGCCCGATCCTCTGGATCTCACTGGAGCTGTGCTTGAAGCATGGCTTATCACATGGTACCCCAGATGCATGCAAGAGCTGCACAGGTTTCCTTTTTCCCTGCATTTCTGTCGCATGGTACTCCAGGCAGCTGTGTTGGTTTGGGGACTCTGAAGAGCCATCAGTTTCTCCTGGGATCAGGGACCAGAGTGGGGCTGCAGCTGGAGTCCTCCCACCAACTCCTAGCTCTGTAAGGCATAAAGTCTTGGGGCTAGGCCCAGAAAAGGTGGAGGCATGACTAGCCATCCCTCTCCCCATCTCCTCCTCTCTGCTTCTCAAAGCCAAAGCTGTGTGGGGTGAATGTGGGAGGGAGAAACAGAACTGGGCATGTGGAGGAGCCCCAACCCTGGGCTCCCAGTTCCCCTCTTCAGAGGAGGAGACCAGCAGTAAGGCAAGAGGCAACACAGCCAGAGAAAGATGGGGAAGGAGTGCCAGGTTACCTGGGGAGACAGGCAAGAGGGCTTTTCCACTTAGGGGGATGATGAGAGTGGGAGCCAGAAAGCAGGTTCTACTTGTCTATCCAGAATCACATTTTCACTTGACAATGGTCACAAGGATGTCCTATTTGGGAGGCCACTTCTGTGGGCTGATCAGACCAACCCTGTGTTTCTGTCCCCTTCTCTTGTATCTCCTCCCATGGCTATTGCATGTTGAAGGCCATGGACTCTGCTGCCAGTTGGTCCCTGGTCATCAGCTTCTGCCTCAAGGGGAATTTTGTCCATTCTGCTCCTGTCCCACCCCTGGCTTTGCCTCAGACTCCCAGCTGGGTCCTACCCTGGCCCTTTCTGCTTGGAAACACAAAGGATTCAGGATTAAACACCCCTTGGTAGAAAATGGATTAGGACTTTAACTTCTTCTACCCATGTAGAACTGGGCTCCTGGGGACACAGAAAGAGATGTAGAATGAGGGTTCAAGAGGTACTCTGAAGGGGACAAGTTTCCTTTTTCCCATGAGCTCTGCTAGGGAAAGGTATGAGTGGCCAAAACATCAGTGGCCTTGGCAGCTTGCTTTAATCCAAAGGGCACCTGGAAATCCAGGTTCTAGCCCCTGCTCTGCCACTAACTCTCAGTGTGCCCTTAGGCACAACCTTTGTCCACTCTGGGCCTTAGTGTCACCGTCTGTCACATGAGGGAGGTTGGACAAGATGGTATCTGCTGTCTTTCTACCTCTCACATGGTGGGAGTCTGTGATCCCCACCATGGAGAGCTGTGGTTCAGAAGGCAAGCAGATCCCTGTCCGGGTCCTGGGGACCCCCGTGGATGCTAAGCATGGTGTGGTTTATCTGCCATGTTCCATTTCTGCCATCCCCCCCAGGCCAGAGCTGCACACCTCCTAGTGAAACACAAGGCCCCGGAGCCCAGCCTCTCCTTGAGTGCACCACTGGTTAGCTCAGTCCCAGACCATTGATCTGAGCTAAATGAGCAGCTGGGTTTGGCCTGATATGGCTGGAAGCAAGAGGAGGAGTTGGACTCCTCAGGGTCAGCCTATCCCCATCTGTGGCGGATACATGTCTGGGGTCTATTTGAGCTCTCCTATTCTGTGGGGAGTGGGGAGGAGCAGGTTGACCAGGGAGCATCTGGCTGGGATGGTACAGGAGGCACTTAGGGAACTGACTGTGTCTTCCCTAGGTAAATGGCAGCGATGGCATGTTCAAGTATGAGGAGATAGTGCTTGAGCGGGTGAGTCTGCCAGTTGGATGGGATGAAAGGGGAGGGGAGGGATTGAGCCAGGAGAGGGGAAGACCTTGAACCTCAGTCTTAAGACTCAGAGAGTGACCTGCATTGAGAAGATGGGGAAACAGCGACTCTCAGAGGCCGCATCACTGCATCAATCAATCAACTAACAAATATTAATTGACCTTGCTGAAGCCTGGGGAACTGGGGAGGGGGTGGCTTTGCTGAGGCCTCTAGGCCAAAGATGATCAGCACAGGCTGGGAAGCCACCTGGTTTCTGACAAATGTCCCCTGGTCTGCCTTGGCCCCTTCTGAGGCCTGGAGTACCTGTTCTGGGGGATAGGCGGAAGTGGGGGGGGG